GCAAGGATTATTATTATCATTATCCTCTCACCCCCATCCCCCTTGCCCTCCACTTCTCTTTACACCAATCCTCCCCACCCCATTCCATAGGAACATGAAGAGGCATTTCAGCCCATTGAGCTAGTTAGGCCAGTTAATTAAACCAGCTTTTCTCCCTGTTCCTATAGAAGAAAACACTAAATAATGTTTATCTCCTTCCCCCCCTCCCCACCCCCCAGGAAATCTGGAGCCTGTAGTTCTTAATCTTAAAGGAATGTTGCACCTGATGACCAATGCAAAGTTGGTGGAGAGCAATAAACCACTCTGCTCTGTTGTGCTGGCCTTAAATTTAACACTGTAGTGTTATGGCACTGCTTTGATCTGCTCCAGCTGACTGTTCAAACGCTTTACTGTAGGTTACTGTGACTGTAAAGGCAGCCAAACATATTTAACTCGCTCAGTATGTATGTATGTATGTTGTGTCTGTGCGTGCATGCGTGTGTGTATATAATCGGTCCTTCTAAACTAACAAACTAACAATTACAATGACCGCAGTTTTAAAACTCAGAGAGGAAGTTTAAAATAAATATTGAATCTATGGTTTTGAAGGACATAAAGTCCAGGCTGAATCTGTCTGTGCTGCGCTGACAAACAAACCTCAGCATGTTTAGAGGAGGAGGTATTTTTTTTTGGAGGGTGAGGCGGAGTTTGCAGGCAATCTGGGTGAAATGACCCGAAGACATTTCCATTGCAAACGCCACCACGATTGAAAATGGGGCACCGTCTTACAGTGAGTCTATTTTTTATCCAGAATTAATTAAAACTAACATGCGTATGGGTGTGTGAACGATTGATTGATTTGTGCAATGAGAAAACTAATCTTTTAACCATTAATTCACAGTTACACTCTGCAATTATTAATTCGTGAAACCCATGAAACCCAGTTCATGGGTTTCACGAATTGTTATATTTTGGTACGTGGAAAAAAGTAGATGGCCCAACTTTGTCTGGACTGTAAGACCTTCCCCTGCATTTCCATTGCTTTATTAATTGCATCAACGCAGAGTTTTACTGATTTTTTGCAGGAGGGGAGACACAGAGGGCAATCTGGAGAATCCTGCAGGTTAGAAGCATGTTTGTATTGAATGGGACAGGGATGGGGGTGGATGAGATTCTGAGGGCTTGTCCAGGCTAAGAACGTGCAAGTTCACGAGTTTACTATCAAATCAGTTTTACAATTTCAGCATACCCGAAGCACGTTTCCACTTGTTGCATAGCTCAGATATTTCCCTGGAAAGGTTAAATAGGCCGTGAGGTTTTTCCAAAAAAATTGTCGTCGCACACTTACATGCATATACGCAAGCGCACACAGCTGCATCTGAAGTTGGTGAGTCATGTTGGTGTACGCTAGATGGTGTACGGCTTCACAGCTGCTGTCAGCCCTTCTTATGATGCTGGGCATCAAGTGTCCGTACATGCCGTCTCATCAAATATTAAACACTGGACAGTGGTCGGGAATGGGAACACTAGCTGTTTCTCCTGTAATGTTGCCCTCTTCATCACTCCAAGTCCAGAAACGTAATAAATGCAGGAATTTATTCTTCATCCTCTCCGTAAGTCAATTTTTGATTCTTTTTCACTTCTACAATTCCACATGTTCTCCTGTACCTTGCTCAAATGGCCATTGTTCTGGTATGAACCAAGGCCAGTGAATATTAGGGGGCATTATAGTTGAGCTCCAAACCTACCCACGCACACAGCAAGGCATCAGCTTGTAAGTACATAATAGTGATCGGTACAGTTATATTATGGAGCCTGTGCCAGGTTAATGTCAGTGGAATTATCTCTCCTTTCTTAGAGTGTTGCTTTCTACAGTACTTTGCCCACTGGGAAGTACTTTGGTCTATGTAGGTCGGTTGTAGGGTAAATGTTCCTGCTGATTGTTAGAACTTTATGCCTTGCAGGTACATGTTAAGGGTGATTATTTTTCAGAGAATTCTGGCGTGGCAACAAACTGCTCACATCTGGCTATGATGCACAATTGGAGCTGTGGCTCACACAGTAGCACTGTCTGGTACAGTGACGTGCATTTATAGCACTAATGTGTGTACAGTACTGTTAGCATGAAATCACATCAACTTGTAACACCAAATTAGCTTGTTAATATAAACCGCTCATTGTTTTGGTGTTGAAATCCTTGTACAATGAAGAACCCATGTTTGATTGAGAGGTGAGTGATAGCTTTGTTCAAATCTAGGATCAAATCTAGAGCACAAATTGTGATATTATAGTTCCCAACAACTGTGTACATCAGCCTGGCTCAGTTGGTTGCACTTTTGCTTCCGATTGTGGGTTCAAGCCTCACATCAGGATCTGGAACCCATATAGTCTGTGCTGTGCTGTTCTTGAAATGATAAGTTAACTGAGCCCTGTCTGCCTTTTTAGGTGGAGGTTAAAGATTTTAGGTACTATTTGAAAGAGAAGGGAGTGTGTGCAGATGTCCTGGCCAACAATCCCCCAAATAAAATTGGGCATTCACTTCATGGCTGTTTGTAGGACATTCCTGTTCGCAAATTGGCTGCGGCATTCACTCATCAAATACGGTCACTGCACTTTACAGTATATCCTCAGTTTCAGAAGTGTGTGTCACCTATTTAAATGCATGTATCTTCTTCTGTTCAGTTTATCTAAAAAGGCAACAAATCCTTTGTTAGATCACTTATTGAGGTTTTAGTGCATTGGTGAGTATGCAAGCTTTACATAATTGCGTGTAGCAAAAGATCTAAAGCTATCCATAACATTACCTTGTTAATTTTGATATAAAAATGTTTTTATATATCGGAAATTAAGTTATCATGCCAACTACAGATGTAAAATTCTTGGTTTCTGATCTCTTAAAACTATAATATCAAGGAAATGTACATTTTGAAATATTTCAGCTTCCCCTTTGCCCCCTTCGCAGCACGGTCCTTCAGGACAGTGTCCAGGCAAACGTTGTTGTCCACCACGACCCAAGTTACCATAAGAATCAACAATTGGAACTGATGCCACTTCTATTTTCCAATCAAATCCCTCAATGTCTTAGCAATGTCTTAGGTTTTAGCTGGTTAGACTGCAGCATTAACCCAACGCACACTCTGGGGTCCTCAACCGTTGGCTCTTGACAACCTGCACCTAATACTTACTGCAATTGGGTAAACAGGATGCGGCCCTCCAGGGAGAGTGTCCATTCCATTCCAACAAATATCTCTGGGATTTCCGTGCAGGGATGCCTGGAATTGTCAGTTTGGTTTGGATACTATTACTATACCACCTGAAAAGTATTTCAGTCTTCCCACAGCACAAACTTTTCCTTTTTTAAGAGGTATTTTTGTAATATTTACATATTACATAGTGCCTTTCATATTGTGAAGACCTCTCAAAACGCTTCACAGGGCATACTGTGAAATGGAGTGACTGTATTTTGCAGTTGAATTTTAACAACTGATGAGATTGCATTTGAACCGTAAACAATTACAGCTGATTTATGAGCAGTTTCATAGCTGCAGTAATTTGCTCTACCATCGTTTGTGCGTTGAATAAGTTGAGGTCTTGCTTGTTTTACAGTCCGATCTGTGCAGTAGTACAACAGTGCACGTTATACATCGGCTTCAATGAACAGAAGCTGCACTGTTTTCAATTCAAAAAGACAGTGTTCAGCAGCAGGTGGAAGAGTTCTGGCGTAGTCTCAAAAAGCTGAAAGATTTCATTGGTGATGGGGCAGTGCTGCGTTGTGCTTCATTTGGCTAAGTTACCCAAAATACTGGAATTTTACCTTATAGAGCACGGAAGGAGCTTGAGCAGGCAGGGCTCCAGTTGATAGCTCGTTCAGATTAGTTGAAGCTGATCAGAGCAGCAAAAGCGTCTGAGGAGGCCCTGCAGAGTATGTTGCAACGGAAGTTTTCCCTCCCTGTCCCTTCCTCCCTCTGGAAGAAAAGGGGTTAAAAAAAGTATTGGCTGTATTATACTGCCAAGACTTGACCACCGTTTTAGAAGCTGGATCGTTCTCGTTTCCTCCAGTCTCTTGCCTGCAGACGTAAGTACTGAAGCTATGTCTCATTTCTCGTCCAGTAGCACAGAGCAAAACTAGCGCAGCTGAAGGAAATCTGAGCAACAGCTATTCTATTGTTGCACACATGAGGTTTTGAGATTGCTCAGTTTAATTTAGCCTGATGTTTAATATAATGTTTAATTTAGCCTGAAGCTTTGTGCCCTGGTTTTACACAATGTCTGCCCTGATATTTGTATAGACGGTCTCACTTTGAGCTGTGGAATTTCAGACCATAACTGAAAGGCATATTTTTAGCAAGCCTACTCCAAGAGAGGCGAAATCTGCCGGAGACCAACCGCATGCAGTGTGACAAACAGACTTTAAAAAAATCTTTCTGAAACACAAGAGAATAGATTATTTCTCACCCGTCAGTTCAGCAAAGTCTGAACTCTTCTGTGGGTGGGGGGGGAGGGAGCAACGTAAACTGAAGGTAGCCATGACCTGGCTTTAGTAGAACTCGTTTGTGTATTTACCCTTTCTGTCCCCCTCTATAGTTCACATCAGTACATGTGGCCACCTGATTACTGTACAACAGACCACCTCTTTATTTGTAAAGTAACATGCCCCTGAAGTCAAACAGTGAGCGATTTCAGCAGATTTCTGTTCATGGCAGCTTGCTGATACCCTTAGGACTATCACCATCTTGGATCTTTTATTTTTATCCACTCGATGTTGTACTTCAGCGGAGATTGATAGTTAAAGTCTATTAAGACATGCAACATACCTCTCTTGTCCCAGACTTCATAAGCTTCAAAGCAAGACTGCATCCTGTTTGTTTTTCGGTTCACAGGGATAACAATTACCACTATGCATTTGTGATCTTTAATGTGAGATTCTATGCTGCTTTTTTTTTGAACTTTCTAAAATGAAACTGTTTCTTTTGGAAGGAAACTAGCAACTTGAATTTTTTTTTATATTTTCCCTCTTACAGAAAAAGGAGAGGCTTCCTTAAACGGTGAAGATGAAAAGGATCCGCAGTCTCCGTATTCTGTGGAAACCCCTTATGGCTACCAGATAGACCTTGATTTTCTCAAGTATGTGGATGATATACAAAGGGGAAACACCATAAAGAAAGTGAACATTCAGAGAAAGCCCAAAGTGCCCAAAACACTGGCGACCACGAGAAACGCCGGAGGGCAGGTCAGTGGATGGACCTCGACTGAATCCCTATCCTCCTCCAACAGTGAGGACAACAAATTGTCACCATCTCTGTTTATTGGTGCACGGAGCCAGCCAGCTCCTCCAATAAGGGGCGGTGGGATTGAAGCTTCTCAGGCGTTTTTAACTGTTCAGGAGAATAAGCTGCTGCCACCGCCCTCACCGAGGCCACCGATACACAACTTCCATGTCGAAAAGACGCTGATGGAAACACGCCGGAGGTTGGAACAGGAGCGACTGATCATGCAGTCCACGTCAGGGGACGCCCGGCGTCCGAGGTTTGCCAGTTTCGGAGGGATGGGCTCCACCAGCTCCTTGTCCTCGTTCACGGGCTCCACCGGCTTGAACCAGGTGTCCCCAAATTCCCAGCAAGTTCACAACGGCTTCCAGACCAACGGGGATTACAATCCGTACTTCACGTCATCGATGGGCAGCTCCATCCGTCACAGCCCCTTGAGCTCGGGGCTCACCACCCCGGTCACCAACGTCACCCCCACGCACCTGCAGCACATCAGGGAGCAAATGGTGGTGGCACTGCGTCGCCTCAAAGAGCTGGAGGAGCAAGTGAAAGCCATTCCCATTCTGCAGGTGAAAATCTCAGTGTTACAAGAGGAAAAGAGGCAACTGGCATCGCAGCTGAAGAGCCACAAGCTTTCGAGTCAGAACGTGGCTCCCGGCTTCCGGAAGCGGTCCTACAGCGCGGGCAACGCGGATCAGCTGGAGCCGCTGCGGGGGGAGCTGCACATCGATTCCGAGGACGAAATGGAAAGCTTGGAGCAGAGTTCGCTGCGGATGGAAGAGTTCAGGCAGCTCACGGCAGAGGTGCAGGCTCTCGAGAGAAAGATACAGGACAATGGCAATGAAAAGCCAGGCGGGGTTGAGCCCTGCGTAAAACATCTGGCGAAGGCGAGAGAGTTCAGGTCTGTGGCTGTGAGCACAGATGTAAACATGAATGACTTTGTGATTTACCACCGGTCTGCGAGATCCTTCAAAGATGTAGCAGTGGGGACGGTGAGTGAGCAGAGAGATGTCAGTGTGGGGGTGACGGAGGCGCTGTTAGGTGTCTCCACGGAGGCGGATCAGGAGATTGAGCTGCAGCAGCAGACCATCGATGCTCTGAAGGATAAAGTTTACAGGCTCGAGGCGCAGGTCAAAGAAACTATGCATCAAGCGGAGATGAGCAAGTTGAAGTTTGAGCTGCAGGCTGCCGGTTCCTGGAAGAAGGCGGACAAGTGTGCGACAGCGAGACCGGCAGTATGCAGTGTGTCGGTGCAGGCAGCAGTGCAGACCAAAAGCCAAATGGTAGGTGATCACGTGGAGTATGCAGACGCCTGTGTAGGAATCCAGCAAGAGACGCGTAGCGTTGGAGTCACATGCAAGCCCGATCTCTGTGACGTGGCTGTGGGGCCGGCCATCCCCATGGACTGCTGGGTTGTGCATGAGAAAGTGGAAGTGCAAGAGAAGAATGTAGGCGGGCACGTTGTAATGTGCGATAAGACTGTGACCTGTGGAGTGAACGTGTGCTTCTCAGACATGGGTGTGAACACCGATGAGACTGTGGAGGATCCAGACATTTCCGGGGGGCCACACAGCGCTCCGCGGGCCAAGGACGTCCAGTCCGTAGGCTGCGGGGACTGTTTGGTGGATGTGGTGGTTTTCCCAGCAAAAGAACTGGCGTCCTCCAGCACGAACACTGTGGCGGTTAGCACGGCTGAGTTGGCTGTCATGGCAGCACCACAAACCACCACCCAACAAACGCACACACAAATAGATACGTCCTGCAAGTTCACAAACACTGAACAGGTGGCCCACATGGAGTCCAGCACCAACACCCTCGCGAGCAGTTGCGATAAAGAGACCAGCACAGCCATCATTGAAATGCGGACGGTGGCTGTGGGCGATGGTAGAGTGAAAGATGTCAGCACAGCGCTGAAAACCCGCTCTGTTGGAGTTGGCACAACAGCCACCAGTGATATTGATTTGGAAAAATCCTCAGTTAAGACCAAAGACTCTGGGATCGGACAGATCAACGTTAACGAGAGCTATTTGGTCGGTCTGAAAACGAGACACATTGGCTGTGGCACGGTTAGTCCAACCCTTGCAAACGGCAACACAAAAAGCGTCGGCGTAGGCGACGAGCCTGCGTGCGTGGCAGAAGGGGGCCAGCCGGCTGTTCAGGACCCGGCACCACAGTTGCACCATTACATTGAGCTTGTGCAAAAGCTGCTGCAGGAACAGCAGACGCTGCTGGCGGAAAATTACACTGAACTGGCTGATGCCTTCGGAGAGCCTGGCTCCCACATTGGCTCTCTCAATTGCCAGCTTATCAACACCCTGTCTTCTATTAGCTCGGCCATGAAGTACGGGAGCACCGAGGAAATTAGGAGCGGTGACGCTGTGGACCTCCGTCCGGACAGCGCAGAGATTGACACAGGTTAGCTGCAAGTCTACAACCCTTTCCATGTAGAAGTTGCTCAGTTTTGTTCCCTACTCTGGCTGTGACATTTTTAAATGATAATTTTACATTTACGTACCACCTTTCCTGTCGGGAAGCAGTCAAAACACTCTGCACAGAACTGTCTGGGAGCCTGAGCTGGGGGAGTGGGAGAGTAGGGAAGATGACCAAAAGCATGGTTGTAATCCTACGGTGGGCTTTAAAGATGGGGAGGGAATGGGCGAGGCGAAGGTATGGAGTTCCAGAGAGCGGAGGCTGAATGGCTGAAAGCTCACCCATTGACGGTGGGGTGTACGGGGGACGTGCAGCATCCTTTATAGGGAGAGGAAATGCATCACAAAGCTGTAATAATAATTATCTGTGCATTTGGTAAAGCGCCTTATCACGTCTTCAAGACTTCTCAAAGCGTTTCACAGAATATACTGTAAAGTGAATTGACTGTATATTTTGTGGGTGAAATGCGGCAGCTAATTGCACACCGCAGTGTCCCACAAACAGTCGTGGATTGAGTGAACAGATTATTATTATTTTTGGGGAGGATTATTACCCCTAAAAAGCAATCTGCCAATTAACTAACAAGTGGGTTCTTACCTTACAGTTTGGTAAACAGAGATATGTGGAGTAAGGAAACTTGCCTAAGGTTTCGCCCTGCCTGGGAATCCACATGACTATAGAGTATGTGGGGACATCTGTGCTGTTAGCTGATCAGTCAGGGTAAAAGGGGAAATCATAGAATTATACAGCACAGAAGGAGGCCATTGAGCCCATCGTGTCTGTGCCAGCTCTTTGAAAAAAGCTATCCGAATCAATCCACTCCTCCGCTCTCTCCCCATAGCCCTGCAAACTTGTTCTCCCCAAATAATTATCTACTTCTCTCTTAAAAGTTGTTATCGAGTCGGCTTCCACCGCCCTTTCAGGCAAGGTATTCCAGATCCAAACAACTCACTGTGTGAAAAAAATTCTCCTCACCTTCCCTCTGTTTCTTTTAACAGCTATTTTATATCAGTGTCCTTGGATAACCGACCCACCCGCCAGTAATAGTTCCCTCAAGCACCACAACTAATCTCTAATGACACTCCTGGGAAGGGCATGTGTATGAATTATAGACCGAGGACAAGATTGGGATTGGGCTCTGTTCTGACTTCTTTGAAAGTGCCATAATATGTTAGGATTTCCAAATTTTGGAAAAAGCTGTAATATTTAATTAGCCTACAAATTACACAGTTGCTACACTTTATAATTAATTCCGTGAAGCATTTTGAGACTTCCTCCCGACATGAAAAGCACCGAATCAAATACAAGTATGATTATTTTGATAATAAATGACTGTAAAGCTATTGGAGGCATTTTGACATGATGGGCGCTGTAACAGATGTAAGGATCATTATTGTATTCAGAGCCATTACACAGGCGAACGGTAATTGGATTTATTGACGCTTGAAAGATTCTAATTTGCTGTACAGCGTAGCTAGTAAGGCGGGTGCTAATCCTTTCGTTGCATAAACCATCCTCAGAAGGTGGACATCAAGTTTAATTAAACTTGTAGAATATTGTTCGTTTTATTTGGCCGCTGTGGTTCAAAATTGCATCTGTCTGTGTCTTTTTTTCTCCCTCTATTTTACCCTTTCTTTATCTCCCCATCTAACTATGCCAGCTCATCACTAACCTGAACTGTTTGTTCTGTGTACTTCACTGCCACAGTCTGTTCCACTCCATAAACAGCCTGCCCAGCAGGCTTGCTTTGAGCATGACTGCTTTTCATAGTCTCCCTCCTCCGCTGCTTTCCTTCTCCCGTTTCTGAAATTGAATGTTGTGTCTCACAATTAACAAAACAGCTCTCGACCCAACCAAAAAATGAACATGAGCTTCTTTGAGATCAGATCACTCTTATTTATAAGAACAAGAGGAAAAGTTGTTTTTTTAGTTCGATTGGTCTGTTCTTTTTCATAATTCATTTGTATTCTGGCTCCGGTCTGCTCCACGTCCCCCGCCCCAACCGCCCTACTATCGGTGGTCGGGCCTTCAGCCTCTCAGCCCCGAGGCTCTGGAACTCCATCCCCCAGTGCCTTCGCCTTGCTTCCTCCCTTTCCTCCTTCAAGGCCGGTCTCAAAACCTTTCTCTTTGACCGTGCCTTCAGCTCCCCTCTCGACTCTCTTCCTCCTCCTCGCTCCCTCCCTTCCCTCCCCTCACCCTGACCATTTCCCCCTCCTCTCTCCCTCCCTTCCCTCCCCTCACCCTGACCATTTCCCCCCTGCTCGGGTCATGACCCAACTGTGCAGCGCCTTGGGACGTCCTCCTGACGTGAAAGGCGCTCTATAAATGGAATCTTGTTGTTGTTGTTGTTGTTGTATTCAACCCACTGTAAATTGATTTGCCTTTACAATCGATATGCTTTATAATAATCCTGTGAAATTCTGTGAAGCGCTTTGGGGCTTTTCAAGGAGCATATGGAGCTATATCAAATACAAGGATTATTAATTTTCTAATTAGATTCAGTTTGTTTATTAAAAGCTATAAGTTAATCAAAATCAATTGTGATAACCTTTGGACCTACAAGAACTCTGTAGTTTTATTTCCACATTCTGTTTTTTTTGAGGTAGTACGGAGCTGGGTGTCTTGAGCTGTCTATTTCCACCACCTCTCATTTATATTGTATCGGTCAGAAGGTTTGTGAGTTTTAGCCACACAACAGTGTTTAAACTCACGATCCAGGCTGAACTTCAGTACTTAGGGAGCTCTGCATTGACCGAGGTGGTGCTCTTCAACTGAGACGTTAAACCAAGATCTTGTTTCCCCTACGCTGCTGGTTCAGATGGATAATACAAATTTCCATGCCTCTGTTTTCAAGAAGAGGAGGGATTCCTCCCAAAGTCTTCACCAATATTGTTCCCTTTTCTAAAATTTAACCTAAAAGCAGATTACCTGGATCCTAATGCTGTTGCTGTAGATTTGCTACCATTCCTTATGTCAAAGTAACTACAGAAATGTAACATTTCGATCTGGTGAGATCCTACATTAAATGCAAGTCTTGTTCTTAATCTTCATTTATATTGTATCGGTCAGAAGGTTTGTGAGTTTTAGCCACACAACAGTGTTTAAACTCACGATCCAGGCTGAACTTCAGTAATAATAATAATAATAATAATAATAATCCTTGCATTTGATATAGCGCTTTTCACGTCGGAAGGACGTCCCAAAGCGCTTCACAGAACACACTGTAAAGTGAATTGACTGTAAATTTGTGGGCGAACGCGGCAGCCAATTGCGCACAGCAATGTCCACAAACAGTCGTAGATTAAAAATGCCAATTTTTTATTATTGTTTTTGGTTTTGGAGGATTATTATTAGGTGTGTGGAGTAAGGAAACTTGCCCAAGGTTTCGCCCTGCCTGGAATTGAACTCAGGTCTCTCACTTGCAAAGCGAGTGCTCTAACCACTGAGCTACAGGACTCCACAAAGTACTGAGGGAGCTTTGCATTGACCGAGGTGGTGCTCTTCAACTGAGACGTTAAACCAAGATCTTGTTTCTCCCTACGCTGCTGGTTCAGATGGATAATACAAATTTCCATGCCTCTGTTTTCAAGAAGAGGAGGGATTCCTCCCAAAGTCTTCACCAATATTGTTCCCTTTTCTAAAATTTAACCTAAAAGCAGATTACCTGGATCCTAATGCTGTTGCTGCAGATTTGCTACCATTCCTTATGTCAAAGTAACTACAAAAATGTAACATTTCGATCTGGTGAGATCCTACATTAAATGCAAGTCTAGTTCTTAATCTTCCTCTGATCGTTCATTGATGGATTTCCTTCTTGTTCTGACCATGGAGTTTGAACCAAAGTAGTATAATAATAATCATAATATAATAATCCTTGCATTTGATATAGGACCTTATCATGTCTTTGAGATGTCTCAAAGGATTTCACAGAATATACTGTAAAATGAATTGACTGTATATTTTGTGAGCAAAACGTGGCAGCCCATTTCAAACAGCAGTGTCCCACAAACAATCATGGATTGAGTGACCCATTTAGTATTTTTTTAAAAAGAAATTGGGGGGGACGGATTATTACCCCAGAAAGCGGACTGCCAATCGACTAACAACAGGTTCCTACTTACTGCTCGTAAACAGGCATAGCAGGAACAGAGCATGTTGAGGATCTGTACTGTTCCACTTAGCTTCATGCTTAGCAAGCCATACAGCGTTCTGACCTTTTTACGATTGCAGTTTTGACAATTAGCTTCTTTCACAAAAGGCGGACGTCTCCTGGCGCTTTACACGCATTTACCGTATTTGTGACAGTGCTGCTTGGAGAGGGGTCTAGCGGAACTCCGCTAATGTAGTTCACTAAACGCTTCCGTCACCCCCGCTCCCGTCTCCAGTGTCTGCGAGAAGTGGTGACATGTTAAATTGAAGCCACATACTTAGTTTATGCTAACCTTGCATTCCTTATGGGAAGATGTATGATGGGATCTGACAGGCTAAGTGCACTCTGTGACCTGGAAGAGGGCATCAGTGTCGGGCACATTCATTGTCGATTACGTCACTGTGTTACTGCCACGGGTTCAATGCTTCACACTGTGATGGTTGGTCATTAACGAAACAGCATGAATCAAAACTAATGAAATGTACTCTTTGCTGTTTGTAAAAGTTTTATTTTTTGAGTTGCCAGTTATTTCCTCAGTGGCACTTAAAACTGCATTGGCCTGTAGTTCTCTCTTCGTGTTGACATGAAATGTACAGAGAACCCAAGAGATCTCGCTGGCTTTAAACCCAAAAAGTTATTATTTTACGGTGTTGTTAGACTGGTAAATTATTAGTATGTATTTTAGGCTCGATTATTACAAGGAGCGAGGGTAATTTAGTGCTGTGAGCCAATAGCCCCTTGCCCACACACCACTGTCGCGTCCTCACTCCTTGCTGATTGCTCGCTGACTCCTTACCAGTAATGACAATTAGAAGAAATAAAACCTGAGATCCTTGTGCAGCTTGTATGGCTAGCCAGTAACTTAATGTGTTTGTTTCTACATGTGAGTAATTCCAGGAAATATTTTTCTTGGAGTCAGACCCAGCCTGGCTAGATGAAAATGTATCCCCAGTCATTGTTTTGGTTGGAGTTGACTGAGGTTACTGGCAATGATCATCCCAGGCGACCTAGTATAAACAGGAAGTTTTGCTTGTTTCAAGGTACTGAAATGGTTCTCTACCTTGTCATCATCTGAACTATTGCGTTAAATGTGGTATTATTCAGGGCTGTGTCCACAATACATTCAGTGAACATGAGTAATATGTTTACTGTTCCTCTTTGCTTACATATTGCTTCCCATTTATCTCCTAGTGGAGTAAGCAGAGCAGGCATCAGAAATTGAGTGGTCCAATCGTGTCCATATTAGGCCTCCAGTTTTGTCAGGGTTATTATTTCAGTAATTCGTTCCCAACCACAACATAAAATTTGTTTTCTCGGAGGAGACTGAGAGAGACTGGCTCGGCTGTTCAGGACTGATGACGTTTTCTTTGTGGTACGCTTTAAAAAATTATAAATAGAGACATTATACTTAGCATTGCACCCGTTTACATTTAAAACAACGACCTGATCATTGCTTCATTATTATCAATTTGTAATTCCTGTTGTAGCTAAGATGAAGACCGACATGCCTACTCATGAAAAAAAATTGTTTCCCATTCAGCTAAAATAGATAAATGTACTTAAATTTTTATTTTATAATAATAAATAATAATCCTTGCGTTTGATATAGCGCTTTTCACGTCTTCTAGATGTCTCAAAGTGCATCACAGATATACTGTAAAGTGAATTGACTGAAACGCCCATAGACTTTTAATCATCTGAAATGAGGGTGGGGAAGCTTTCAAAAGTTGTCAACTTTGGGAGATGCAGAGTCGAGAACCTTGATGTTCCTCTGAGAGGAATTTTGTTATTCTTTTTGAACTGTGTGTAAAACACTTCAGCAAAGCCTCAAAATGCAGACAGCTTTTTGTCCACTTGATCCATACACGGTAACATGTGTGTTTATATGTAGATATTCTAAAAGGATTTTGGACAGGGTTTTTGAAGCTTTCTGATTGATATGGGCCTGTTGTCTAGCTGGTGGAATGTAGAGTGACTATCAGATCATAGTTGTGGATATGGGCTGGAATGCAGGAATCAAGAAGATTACATCGGTGGAATGGAGCGAATTGTGGAGGGAATGTACAGAGCTAACCTAATGGATTATCGTGTTTCTTTCCAAACTGTAAAATACCTCCAGAAGGTGCCCTTACAAACATTTCTTGTGTCAAAACTGCGTCAAGCTGCATCTTGAATTTGCTGATACTGTTCATCATTGCTGTCTCTGGGCAGTCTGCTGCACATATTTATCACCCACTGATGTCGAAAAGGCAGAGATTTTAAGGAATTAATAGTGTGTTCTGTGCTTAATGTTAATCCCTCTGGCTGTGCATCCTAATATCTTGATTGCTTTCTTTAATGGTACTGCAACCATAATTTTCCCCATTCCTAGTCTCAGCACTCCACATTTATCTACTTTTGGTGACATCTGTCACGAGTCCACACAGTCTATCCAGATTCCTTTGTGTAGTCCACCTCGTTAAGATGACCGGTGTCCCAAAGTAAGGAGATGCAGTATAATTTATATTTATATAGCACCTTTCACATTGAGAAGATGTCTCAAAATTGACACTGCAGGCTGGGTACCTGAGGTGAGTGGAGAGGAGAAAGATGACCAAAAGTGTGATCAAAGAGGTCTCCTTGCGGGCTTTGAACGAGGGGAGGGAGCGAGAGAGTCCAAGGGCCTCTGGATGAAATTCCAGAGAGTGGGGACGGTGTCTAAAAGCCTGCCCACCAACAGTGGACCAGATAGGGTAGGAGACATGAAGCAGGCAAGTGGGCACTGAGCAAAGGGAGTGTCTGAGTAGGTAGTGTTGGAGGAGGTTTAGGAGGTAGGGTGGGGTGAGGTTATGGAGAGATTTAAAGGTAAGAAGTAGATTCCTGAATTTGATCCGCTGTGGAATGGGGAGCCAGTGGAGCCGAGCGAGATGCGGGTGACAGACTCTTGGAATCTGATGTGAGAGAGGACACAGGTTGCAGAGTTCTGGATAGTCTGTAGCTTGAGATCAAGGAATTGTAATGTTCAAATATATAAATACTTCCCTAATGGTTCAGGTATCAAAGTCACTGCCCAGTGTGAAATAGGGGGGTATACAAATCCAGAAAGTCCCAGTCCCTATTCATTCATTTTATGGCTGTTCATGAGATCACAAGATTGGTCTGGATGAAGAAGGCCCTTCGCCCATCCGACCTCTTCCCTCCAAAACAACCCCCAGAATTACAAAATCATGCTGTTTTTTAAATGAGTCCTGTGTCCTGGCCGTTACCACCTTTCCTGGCAACTTATTCCAGTCATTGATTACCCTCTGTGTAAAGAAAAACTGATGTCTGTCCTGAAATTGCCCTTAACAACTTTAAACCTGTTCTCTTGTTCTACAGCCTTGATGCATCCTAAAGTATTGTTCTGGGTTTATTTTTGCAATCTTATTTAAAAATTTCCACACCGGTATGAGGTCCCCTCTGAGCTGTCTTCTTTCAAAACTGAAGCTTGTCTAGTTGTTACTCTAACACTGAGGATCACCATCATTGCTCTCCTTTGCACAGCCTCAAGGGCCTGGACAGCTCTCTTATATCACGGTGTATGTATGCAATATTCAAAGTGCGGTCTGACCAGAGCATTGTACAGCATTGTATGACGTCTGGGGATTTTAAACTCAACTGATTAGCAAATATCCTGTTTGCTTTATTTATTGCTGCCTCACATTGTTTTGGCATAGTAAGTGATGAGCTGGACCAATAGAAAAGGTGGGGAGATATTTTCCAGAAATTGCAGGGCATTTGACAAATTTTGCGAGAGGTTTGGTGAACCTTGCAGAAAATTGCGGGGGTTGGTTGGTGCTTTTGAGAGACGCATTTTGTGAAACAACAGATTAAAACTATGGGCATATATTTCCTGAACATGTAGTTATGTTTAAAATGCTAAAAATGTTAATTTTTAATGGTACAGCACTTACCAAGAATTTGTTGCAGGAGTTCAGTTGCCTCGGGCGAAGCTGATTTCCCACTCATACCGCTTCCGCGATCCCAACACTCCCCGCGCTGCACATGCACAACAAGAGCCGCTCTGCTCACAGTAGCAGCAGCACTTTTGTAGCGGATTCCACGGAAAACGTGCATTTGCACTTTTCTGTTGGTCCAGGCAATGAGTCAATTAATATCCCTAGATCTCTTTCAGCTTCCTCCTTGGCAAGTTCATGAAGTACTTGAGTTTTCTATTCTGGGATCCTCTATGTATTTACCAGTATTAAACTTTAGTTTGTGGAACATTATTGTGCGCAAATTGGCTGGCACTTTTGCTTACAAAATACAGTCACTATACTTTACACTAAATCCTACAACGTGCTTTAAGGCATTCTCCTGATGTGAAAGACACTATTATCAAATGCAAGTATTATTATTAATATTATTGAATGGAAGCAAGGAAGAGCATTTTTGCCATGAACAACAGCATAAGCTTAACTAAAACTACTAAAAGCGTAAGTATTTTTAGAACACAAGCTACATGTCCAATGGGTACTATAGTTGCTCACCTACTGCTCTTTAATGCTGGTTTCATCATTGTCCATCCAACAGGTATAAGTTGTGAGCATAGTTTGTCTACTAAAAGTACCAGTCTTGTGACCACATCTCAGTCAGCAATTGCCACCCGAGTCGAACAGGTTACAACGGTAACAACTATCGAATCTTGTGAGACTTTACTACAACAAGACAATTTAACTCCTCAGACTGATTCACCAAGTCAACCAGCGACATCTACCATTTGTGGTACGTACTCTAATGTTTGATTCTTTTATTTTCGGGCAAGGCTGTTTGTGAGACAAAAATAGCGCAAAGAATTGCCCCATCTGCTTACAAAACTCACTACACCTGGCAGCAATTTGCCTAGAAAATACACAGTCATTACTCTTTACAGCAGGGTTTTTTGACATGCTCAGAGACTTCCTCCTGACATGAGCGGCACAATATGAGCGTCAGCAAAGATTATTATTGTTATAGTTACTTGTGTGGTATTGAGTTGTTTGACATAAGGCACCATAAAAATATACGTGCTTTCCGTTACCCCAATTTCTCAGTTTTTTTCCCTCTCCTGTATCTTACAAATTTAACTGAAAGCTGTGATCTCTTATCTTTAATGGTTCCACTGTTAATCCACCTTAATCTATTGACATTCCAAGCCTGACTATCTATCTGCTTTGCTGTCGAATGCAATGCCGAAGAAGCTAAGTCCGTGCACTTTCCCCTCAACGGCTTTTAACCTTCTATTATAAAGCTTAGGCTCATCCAATATAATTTATATTTGTATAGAGCCTTTCACATTGTGAGGACATCTCAAAGCGCTTAACATTCAAGATTTAAATGCTGTTCCTATATCCCAGGGGAGGTTCTTCCACCGCTTTCCCTGTACATCATGTGTGAAAAATAATGTTGCAAAATGTGTGAATAAATCCTGTAACAGCTTAATCTTAAAGTGCCTCTCCTACCCCAACCGCCCCTGCCCAGTTTATTACATCAGCTACTTATGTAATTATGGAGGGGGGAGAAGGTTTTGATATAGCATACCTCCCAATTGCACATTCTCCTTTTCTGAGGCTCCTTACTGCAGCTGAGAGCAGTCTTTGGAGCACTCCTGTTCCCTGATGAAAGAATGAAGGTATGTCCCTATTACAGCCCTCTTCTCTCTCCTTCCTCCCCCCCCCCGCCCCCCGCCCATGAGTTAGCAATCTATTTTTCATATTGTGCGCATTCCTGCAGAGCAAAAAATTGAGGTGTTCGGTGCTGAAAGTAGTCCTACTTATTATCATGATGCAGTGTGCCACAATAACTTGCGCTCTGCAAGCAGTCTACTCTCGCCTTGGCAGTCTTTATTGTTAAACAAACTGAAATGATTTAAGCTGTACTTTCATCCACTGTACATTCTGTAAATGGGAATAAACGGCTCACTGATGCCAAGGATGGCTGTAGGATCAGAGTTCATTGGGGCATTTGAAAGGGAATTAGATGGCCAAATGTGAAGGAAGGGAATTAGAGGCTGCATGTGAAGAGCAGAAAATTGGAGCCAATGCTAATCCTAATACATTGGATTACATACCCTCCTCCTGTGTCATACATTTCTATAGATCTTTCAAATAGCCTTTCCAATTAACAAAGAACAATGGTCCATGTACATGACTACCTCACAGGCAAAAAAATTAGTTTCAGCGTATCAGATGCACGGAGATAGGCATAGCATTTCCTTAGATCCACAGTTTTGGTGTTTCTTCGTTAACCAGTCTACAGTTCCTGCCTGAATTCTGCTTAAATTCTCATCAAACATTGGGTACTTGGCTCTTTACGTAGCTGCCATTAGGTTGGCCAGTTTATGATTTGAACGCTCTGTACTTCATTAATCGATCTGTGCCTTGAATTAAAGATTTAGAATCACACATTTCATTATTAAACACCAATTAAACGAGTGATTCAATCGGGAAGTTCAAAGCCTTTGTTTCACTATTACCTGGGAACTGGTTTTATGGAAACCAAAACAGATGAAATGGTCTAAAATATGCAAAGATCATTTGGTTTATCCGTAGAACATATCCTTACTATTTTGAAGCTTGAGTCTTTTTAAAACAAAATTTGGGTTGAAATAGTTTTAGTTCCATTTTAGTTCCCACACAGTTTTTTGTGTCTCTAACAATGCTTGCTAGAGAAGTAGATAAGGGAGCAGACTCCCAAGAGCTCTGAAATGATGCTCTGAAACCAGCCAGTGATGATAGAGAAAGGCTTCCTCCGGTGGTGGTCGCTCTGGGCACCTGCCAGAGCAACATAGATTATACTGGAGATTTACAGTGTGGCAACAGTGCAGGTGTAGACCTGGAGATTAGTGCTTTAATAATCTGTGCATCTGATATAGTGGCTTTCACATCAGGAAGATGTCCCAAAGTACTTCATGGGAGATTACTGTAAAGTGTAGTTACTGTACTTTGTAGGGAAATGTGGCAGCCAACTTGCGCGCAGCAATGTCCCACAAACAAAGTGAGTGACCAATTATAATCTGTGGGATATGTGGCTGGGACAGAGGAAGCAACTGCCTTTCCTTTTCAAATAATGCAGAGGGATCTTTAACATCCACCTGAACAGGCAGATGGGATCTTGTTTTAATGTTTGATCTAAAAACAGCAACTACAGCAATACAAGGCTCCTCCAGCACTGTATTGGAATGACAGCCTTGACTGAGGTCAAAGTTTCCACGTGGGCTTGAACCCAAAGCCATTCTTTTGACTCAGAGGCATGTGTACCACCAACTAAGCCAGCCTGACGTATCCATTTGCCACAGCAGCTTATTGCTTGGTGAACAATTTTCCTGAGCTTCTGCACATTTGATAATTTTTTTCAGAAAATACAGCACAAAGAATTGTTAACGGGTGCTTTTTTTTCTAGCAGTGTCTCCTAGCAGTACGGGGATACTGAAGTCCATTATGAAGAAGAAAGATAGTCCTAAAAAGCATGAAACGAATGGCACCAAGAAGAACCTACAATTTGTTGGTGTTAATGGAGGGTAAGTGCAATGTTTTTTAGTGAGAGTTCAGAATCCAATTCAATAGGATGTTCCTAGAGATTATGGGCTTCAGTTATCAAGAAAAGTTTGGGACTTCTCATGGAGATCTTCCTGATTTATGAAGGATTTTGATAAAGGAAATAGTAATAGATTATTTGCACTGGTCAGCGAGTCATTGACGACAACAACAAGAAATTACATTTGTATACTGTCACATTGTCGCCTGCCATGTTGGGAGGACGTCCCAAAGCGCTGGTCATTCATGGGGTAGTTAATGACGAGAGAGCACCCAGGTTTAAAATGACCACAGCAAGAATCAATGAGGGTGTAGGAAACAAATGTTTACAAAGAGGATGCCAATAAATCTCTACCGCACAAAGCATTTGAAGCAGAATGCAAACTCTGGTTTTAACAGGAAAATTGGGTAATAATAACTTGCATGTATTCAGTGCCTTTCACATCAAATGAAATGGCTTGGAAAAGAGCAAGATTGAAGAGGAATAGGAGGGAATGTGGGGGGAGCTGGGAAGTGGGACTAAATGTGTTTGTTTATAGAGCAAAACATGTTGACAATGGCCTACTTCTGTGTAGTAATATTCTCTTGAGTGCTTTTCTCGTGACATTGTAAACCATCAAAGTGAAATAGGTATAGGGGGATTGGAACAGCGTAAATAGTAAAGCCATTAGAATCGAGTGCAACCTTTTCCCCTCAGTCTTAGCCTATTTTGTACAGCAAATTCTCTGTCCTGGTTGATTTTAAATGTGGTGTGTCCAATTTTTTTTTCTCTCCACAATGGGCCTTTGCCTCTGTTCCTGTTCCACAGCTTCCTTTGCCTGGGATACATCCTATCCAAAGATGCAGTTCCACGAGCACTGGTTGGTTAACTCTCCGGTTCCCTGCCCAAGTAGCCATTCTTCATGTGTGAGCCTTGGCAGTGAGTGTTGGCAGAGCTGTGGAGGGCATTACAAGCTGACCCCTCCACACACAACACACTCACACAACCAGTAGAGGGTGTTTAAAGAGGTCCAGGAACCCAGCTGTCTTTCCCCTCCCTAACCCTGGGAAGGTTAGGGCCAATTTAGCATTCCCATACAGCCCTGGATGAGACAGCACACTCAGTGAGGGCTGGGATTTGAACCAGTGAACTCCAGGACCAGAATTGCAGCTCTTTCCAATGAACCTTCAGGGCTGCCCTCGTCCCGGTTGATTTATGTTGAGCTCCAGTATCCTACCCAAAGACTGCACACTTCAGTTTTGAAAAAACAGCTTGAATTTATTTAGAGTACAACCGGTTTCTGTTATAGCGTGATCGTTTCTTGGCTCATAAATTGCCCTTTTTGATGTTCATAACCAAACTTTTCAATGGTCTCCACTGCAGACAGCTGGCTCCTTTGTGCTGGTGCCTTCACCACCAGCTCTGTTTCTCTAGGACAGTCTTTTCTTTCAGCTCATTCAGTCTTGAGTTGCCTCCACCTTCCTAGTCCCAACCTATGTGGAACAGCCTGTGGTCATTACTCTGCTCAAACAGTCCACTAAGCCGCTTTTTGATGCTGACTACATATATATAGAGAGAGATTTTTTTGAAGCATACAGTATTGTATCGGCAATGGGGAGCGAGATCACAGAATGAAATATTGTGTGTTTTAAAACTCGGGCTGTTGGCCCTTAAAACAAAGGTTTAGGATCACAGAACAGATTTTATACACATTTAAACCCAAGCTGTTTGGCTCTTAAACAAAAGGGTATGGTCTTGGATCAGTGCCTCTCTCTGGACGACTTCCCATCTGTGAAGTTGAGAGAGGCAAACAGCAAGCTGCTGTTCTGTGCAGGAAACCATCCCGCTGTTGAATTCTGTAGCTGCCGACTTCCGTTCCTGCTGGGGAATAGGATTTGGCGCCGGTCACGTGAATCAGTTACATTTCAGTTACAACTTGGTTAGATATAAAACTAGGATTATTATTTATGGAGAAAACAAATAGAGTAGTAATAATCCTTACATTTGATATTGCATTGAATACCAAGTTTGTCTACAAAACACAGTCACTTTAAAGTATATCCTATGAAGTGCTTGGGATATCCTCCTGACATGAAAGGTCCTCTGCCCTATTTAAGGATGATTATTATGTAGCACTGAAAGTGCTCCACAAAGCTTTCTGTAAAGTGCAGCAACTGTATATTTGCAGACGAGTGCAGCAGGGATTTTGTGCGCAGTAAGGTCCCACCAATGACCATGAATTGAATGATCAGTTTCATCTGGAGGATTGTTGGTCAGGACACTGGGGAGATGAGCTAACTTGCTGAAAGAAATCAACACATCACATTGAATGCTTCTGTGTACACTCAGTGAGCTGTGTGCACATAGAATTTGTACAGCTTCAACCATGTGTTCAGCCTGAGACAGCAATCGAATCACATAGATTTTGCTGTTCTCATTCTATATATTTAGAGTTTTTTTTTACTGTAGATGTGGGATTTTATTTTACTGTAGAATGTCACCGGTCCAGTGTACAGAGATGTGAAAATTACTACATTGCTGGTTACTCTTGTAATTTGACCTTTCCTCTTGCCATGCTTCTGCTGCAAGTCTGCAGTGCTCCATGGCGGTATCCTACATCGTAGAGTTAACGTACTTAAAAGTCACTCTGTTAATGCAAATTGTTGTTGTTGTTGTCAAGCACCACTGGTGTTGATTGCTCAGATGCTACCCTCATGAAGGGCGCTATAAATTGAAGTTGTTGTATCCATCATTATAAGTACCAAATATATTAGTTATAAATCCCTGAACTCAGCCTGGAGCATAGCTGTAATAAGCTATATGGCTTTTTCCTGAGTGTGGTGTGCTAGCTCGTGTCTATTATAAATCCTCAAAGCTTCCCAGCTAACTATTTTGCATCTTGTAGATACGAAACCACGTCCAGTGATGATTCCAGTTCAGATGAGAGTTCATCTTCTGAATCAGAAGAGGAGCTTGAAGAACCAGACTCTTGTAAAGATGAATTTGAAGGTAATAGCGAAGAGTCGTCAGAGGGACCTGTTGTACGTCAGCCTGAGACTGAAAAAGATGTGTCAGGAGAAAGTGAGGAATTGGACAAAGAGGTGGACAAGGTGGAAATAAGGGAGAGGTATGAACAACCTGCATACGAGTATTGTAATTTATAATGCTGATTGAAGACAGTGATCATATCATCTACATGTATTTGATGGGATTGCTCACATTTCTAGCACTCGTCACAAGAGATGCTCTTGATCTGATCCATATTCTCAGTGAGATAAAGGGAAGACTTACTCCTTCCCCATGAAAATTCTGTTGAAAAGTCACTTTTGCACACTTCCCGTTAACTGTTTTTACATAATGACATTGGCAGAACCTCACAAGTAACTAGTCTGCCTATTCTATTGAACTGGGAAATGTGGCGCAGCCTGAGGCCAGTTGAAAATCAAAATTGTTTACAAAAGCTCATGCTGAGTAAAATATGTTTGCATTAACATTGTTTTTTTTGAAAAAGGTATGAGTTAAGTGAGAAGATGGTTTCGGCATGCAAACTACTGAAAAGCCAGCTCTGTGACCCAAAAGCAATGGCAAGCAAAGAAGTGGTAGGTTTAAATTAATCAAACAGCAATGGTTTAGTGACTAATTTTATTTAGGGGAAATTTTGGCCAGGACACTGGGAAAAACTCCTTTTTCTTTTTCAATAGTGCCATGGGATCTTCCAACATCCACCTGAACAGGCAGACCCAATGTATCGTGCTCAAGATTATTTTCCCCGGGTCAATTGAAATATTTAAGAGTTTGGTGGATGAATATTTGGCGGGCAGAAACTCAAAGGATATAGTGAGCGGGCTGTGAAATGTCATTAAATTGCAGATCAGCCATAATCTAATTAAGTGGACCAGGCTTCATGAGCTGAATGCTCTGTCCCATTCCTATCTAATGCAATGGTACTTTACAGTATTTCTATTTTGTTGCAGTGGCTTTTATAGGATATTACATAATGTTCCAGGATAGAGTATTTTCTTTGGAAACAAAAGCCTTAGAAAGCACTGCTGTAACCTATTTAGACATTGTAGCCCTTTTATAATGAAGCCTATTATTATTATTATTATTACTTCATTGCGATGACATGATATTAGGAAATGTACTATATCAAAAGCTGCCTGGTTGAACACATCTGACAATTTCATGAAGCTAATAGTTTTCAGTATTGTTAAATATTAACATTATTAAATATTAAATAAACCTTGCATTCCTTCTGCTGCTTATGTATTATCAGTCAGACCGCTAAACTACAGAGAGAGAATTGCACTCCTGCGACAAATTCCTGTCATTAAAATCCTGTATTTCATGTAATAAAACTATCTGCCTTTGTAAAAACTTGATTAAAGTTCTGACTGCAGATCACAGATTCCATCCACTTGCATAGTTCATAGAATGCCACTGCTTCGTAAGAGCTCACATTTGAATAGCAAGCAGGGAGGTGTATTTCACTGCAGTAGGAGTGTTGCATTGTTTTTCAGTTGCATTGTGAATAAATAGGATATGGAGAGATTCAGCACGCTATCAGAATTCACTATAAAGGGGCTTCAATATGCTTTTTGGATACTTTTTCTTTCCTCTACTTAAGTTCCCCCTTTCCTAATGTAAAGCTTGCTTGTGTAAATTTGACAGAGACTTTGCCTGAACAGTGTCCAGCATGAATGGTTCCGAGTGTCTAGTCAGAAGTCGGCTGTTCCCACCATGGTGGAGGACTACTTGACAGGATTCAGGGAGATCTCTTTGGAAGTCTTGAAGCATGTGGTCAATATGGCAGATGGCAATGGAAACACGGCCCTTCACTATAGCGTGTCTCACTCAAACTTCGAAATTGTGAAGATGCTTCTAGATGCAAGTATGTTTTATAGTTCCTTTATTGTAGCCTACATGTTTATACGATAAATATATTTATTTATATGTATCTTTTATATATATAAATTTATACACACACGCACACAAAATATACACACTCATCACTCCAAGGGTAAAAGACTCAGTGACGAGTTATCAGGAAGGGCGAGTTAGGCATACATAAAAATACAAAATAAATGGGGCTGGAATATTGCCAGCATGATGACTTCAATTGTAGTGGTAAGTTAAGCTAGGGTCGAGTTATCAGCAGTTTACTGTATTCTGCAGAGGGGTCAAGGAATCTCTTCTGTGCATCCCTTAACCCCTCTGCGTGCAAATCGGCAGCCATGCGTTCAGCCACTTCCCCACCCATCCGCCCAACCTCTGGAACACCTAGCCGCAATCCTTTCACCTTGCCCCCTCTTTACTAGTCTTCAGATCACACCTGAAGACTTTCCTCTTTGACCGTGCCAACAGTCACCTCCCTTTTCCCAACTTGGCATCAAACTATGGGTAAGTAATAGATCAAAGCCCAGACAGCTTTCCAGTATCTGAATACCTTCACACACTTGTGTGATCTGTTTGTTATGCAGCGAATGACATCTGAGTACCTGGAAAAAAATAAACTTGCCATTTAGACACCAAAAAACAAATCTGTATAAATTAGGATTTGCTGACCTGGTTACAGAGATACTGGAGCCAAAAGAGGCTTCTCTAATGCACGTATATGTACTTATGTTCCTTTTTTAATCTCTTCTGTTCTAAAAGAACACTGAGTGCTCTTTTGATTTGCTGAAATACAAGCCACACTATTGTTGCGTTAGGAATATTTAGAATTGTCCCTGAAGATGATCTCTTGTATTTGTTAATGTCTGAGACCTGGTTTATAAGTAACCATATACTTTAATTTAACTCGGAGTCTTTATTGCATTGAAAGATAGTCAAAATGTATGTTTATTTCTGTTTTAAGTACTTTTGCATGATAGCTATCAGGAAAGGTATGCACATTAACAAAGCTTTGTGCTTATTGTCTTTGGACATTATCGTTTGCCAAGAGATTAAGGCCCTCTCTTTGTTACAGATGTCTGCAACGTGAACCAGCAGAACAAAGCTGGCTATACTCCTATCATGCTGGCCGCTCTGGCTGCAGTGGAGACCGAGAAAGACATGAAAATCGTGGATGAGCTCTTTAGTCAAGGAGATGTAAATGCCAAAGCCAGTCAGGTCAGCAATGTCCTTGTTTGCACTGTAGCAATCCTTTTTGAGAGGTCTATGCACATAGCTCTTTCAGAAGTGTTTGGAAGGATTCACTTTGTATGCCATAAAAATAATAGTAAAAATAATGCCTTTTTGGTTACCAGGTTAATGTCGTACTCCATTTTATGCACAGCTAGTACATACCCCTCCTTAAGTATTTGAATTTTATAGCTAGGTTTGAATTTATAATAATAATAATCCTTGCATTTGATATAGTGCCTTAACATGTCTTTGAGACGTCTCAAAGCCTTTCACAGAATATAAGTGAATTAACTATTTGTGGATGAAACATGGATGAATTTAGCAGTGAATGAAAGATTCTGTGGGTAAAGAATAGAACTGCCGTAGCCTCTTGAGTTTTTTTTCTTAAAAACAGATTTTTAAAACATACATCAACTTGGTGGCGAAACTTCGTGAATATTTTTCGAGCAGGATTGTCTCGGTGCCACAAAAAACATAAAATAATGAATGGTCTGAAACTGACCACCTTCTGTTAACTAATGCCACAATCAAACAATCACTGGTTAAACAATCACTTGCTCAGCTCCTCTACTTTATTCCCTTTCCAAGCAATTAAAAAAACACCAGGTAGCAATGTCAATCTGAACATCCAAATCACCTCTGATCCCTATTTCAACTGTCTGTGTTAGAGCTGTTGCTTTCTCTTCACCTTTCATGCTTTACCTGTGTGTATCGTCTACAAATACACGGTCACTACACTTCAGTGTAAAAATCCAGTGAAACGCTTAGACTTTGACAACATGATAAGACACTATATCAAATGCAAGGAGTGAAACTTTAGGTAAGTTTCCTTACTCCACATGCTTCTGTTTACCTAGCAGTAAGTAGGACCCCACTTGTTAGTCGATTGGCGGATCACTTTCCAGGAGTAATAATCCCTTCAAAATAATAATAAATTGTTCACCCAATCCACGACTGTTTGTGAGACACTGTGTGTGCAATTGGCTGCTGTGTTTCACCCATAAAATATACATTCACTGCACCTTGCAGTAGATTCTGTGAAGCGCTTTGAGACGTCTCGAATACATAAGACGCTATATCAATTGCAAGGTTTATTATTATTATGTTAACAGCTTGGGTTTTCTTTTTCCCCTGGTGTCTTCCCCCACCCTCCCTCTTTCTACCAACCCAGTGCACTTCCAGGTTTGGACCATTATTTATCTGCACCAGTGTTCGCTTGATTGAAGATTCTTTTTGCAATGCAAATGGTCTGTGCAAAGACGTAGTCTTTATGGGTTTGATGACCTGTGGTCCTATTGTACCTTTGTCCTTGTTTCCCTGTTCCACGTCCTTCCCTAGCTGAGTGAACTGGCAGAATATCAGTTCTCATGCTTCCGCCAAAATTTCTCTTTAGTATCCACCAATACACAGTGCAAGCAACACCAGGAGCAAAGAGTTTCCTTCTCTCTCTCCATTTAGTACTTTTCCATTGCACGTGCGAACTGTGCACCTGCTTTCCTACATGATTGCATCGTCTCCAGCTTGGAAATGCTGCTTGGAGCATGGAGTGATTGATAAGCTTTGTATGGTGTATCTGTGTTGTTTTAGGCTGGTCAAACAGCACTGATGTTGGCTGTGAGTCACGGTCGGATGGACATGGTCAAAGCGCTGCTGCTCTGTGCTGCAGACGTCAACATCCAGGATGATGAGGGCTCCACGGCTCTGATGTGTGCAAGTGAGCATGGCCATGCGGAGATAGTGAAACTCCTTCTGGCCCAACCCGGATGTGATGCCACCCTAACCGACAACGTAAGTTCCCGGGAGCATTTTAATGCAAGGACTGAGCACTTTCACGTTTCCAAGATGTACGTGTTGAACTCTCTACCGCACACACTCCTTCCTCTATTCAAATATATGCCATTTGGTTTCATTAATATTACATGTGTGCTCCTTAAGGAGACTTGAAGAAGGAATATTGAAGAAAATTTACTCAAATTCCTTTATTATTTTACTAATTTTCACGACATTGATGTACATAAATAAATAGAAGATGTATTTATTTGATTCTTTTTTAAAAAGGATTTTGTTTTAAGAAGAAATGGATATAATAATAGTTGACCAGAATCACTTTCAAAGCCAAACTGTTTCTAATTTTGAAGTGTGGGATCCACTCCCCATCCCAGCAGGCTCCGGTTTGCTCCACGTCCCCCGCCTGGCCCATCCCACCGTTGGCGGTCGGGCCTTCAGCCTCTTTGCCCTCACCTTCCGGAAATCCATCCCACAATCCCTCCGCCTTGCTCCCTCTCTTTCCTCCTTCAAGGCACGTCTCAAGACCTTCCTCTTCTACAGCATCTTCGGTCACCCTCCTACCCTTACCCTCCCTGCCCTCCATCCCTGCTGATCCCAACCACCTACTCAAGGCCAAATCCCTGACTGTCCAGCACTTTGGGATCCCCTCCCGACGTGCAAAGTGCTATACAAATGTAGTTTGTTCTTGTTGTGGGAGGCTATAGCTGTAACGCTGTAAACCTTACACTGGATGTCTTTTCAGGATGAAAGTACAGCCTTGTCCATTGCTCTTGATGCTGGTCATAAAGATATAGCAGTCTTGCTGTATGCTCATGTAAACTTCTCCAAAGCTCAGTCACCGGTGAGTGCACATTTGATTGTTTTCCCATTTCACAATTTTCAGAGTAGTTCTTTGTTTAAAAAAANGGATAATAATGACTTCAGTGCATATAAATTAGTGTACTTAGTGCATTTCCCTTCATTACTCCCTGCATTTATATTGCGCCCTTCAAGCAGGCAGCGTCTCAGAGCGCTTAACAGTGGCAGACCCTGAAGCCGAGCCAGGAGGAGGGGTAGGTTACTGTAAACACAGTTGAAAAGGAAGTTCTTCAGTCATGATCTAAAAGAGGGGAAGGAGGGACTCAAGGCAGAGAGATTGAAGGAGAGAGTCCCAACGCTTTGGGGTGTGGTGGCTGAAAGCACAGCCACCGATGGTGGAGTGGAGGGGGTAAGGGACGAGTAGGAGGCCAGAGCTCACCTCAGTTATCTCCAGGCCATACCCCAACAGCTGACTGTCTGTCAGCCAATGTTCTGCTAACACTGTTCTGTATCTGAGAACAGCCCAGAGTGACCAGCTCTCTGGTTTTCTCCCTCTTCATCGGGTACAGGAGCGCACTACTTGTCCGAATGCCAGCTAATCACATATCTACTTACGAAGGCTCAGAAACCCACCCTACCCTGCGTGAAGGTTGCTATATAAATGCAAGTTGTTGTGGTGGGAGTGAAGTCTAAGATTTGTGTTTGCAAAGTAACAAGGTCTTGGTGCATTGTAACAGGCTTTGTGTTTTTCATTACGTTTCTGGACAATTGGGACCACTACTGGGGGAGGTGGGATCTTTATCTTGAGGATGGGCGGCACTTAAGCAAGGCAGGGGTGGTCTTCCTTGCCAAGAGAGTATCAAATGCTGTAGGGGCGGATTTAAACCAGTGTCGAGGGGGGGTGGGTATCCAAGGATAAACAATGGATTAGAGATTAGAGGAAAAAGACAAGTGGGAAGTTTAGAGCAGGTACAAGCGGACAATTTCCTCAAATGCATGTACCTAAATGCACGTAGCTTAGGGAATAAGGTTGATGAGCTGCAGGTTCAACTGGCCATAGGGGGTTACGATGTGGTGGCAGTAACCGAGACATGGCTCAAGCCAGGACAGGAATGGGAGTTAAATATTCCAGGATATAATGTGTTCAGGAAGGATAGAGAAGGAAGAAAATGAGGAGGGGTGGCAATATTAGTTAAAGATACAATTATAGCTTTAGAAAGGATGAGGCTCTGGAGGGCCCGACAACAGAATTCATCTGGTTAGAGATAAGAAATAAGAAAGGAGTGGTTACACTGATAGGGGTTTACTATAGACCACCAGACAGCGGGAAGGAGATAGAGGAGCAGATCTGCAACCAGATCGTGGATAGATGTAAGGCGAACAGAGTTGTGATAATGGGGGATTTCAATTATCCCAATATAGACTGGCAAAATAGCAGCGCTAAGGGCAAGGCAGGAGAAAGATTCATAGACTGTGTACAGGAAAATTTTCTTGAGCAGTATGTCTCCAGTCCTACGAGGAAGGAAGCATTGCTGGATCTAGTCCTGGGGAATGAAATAGGTCAGGTTGAACAAGTTTCGGTAGGGGAGCATCTAGGTAACAGTGACCATAATATTATTAGATTTAGATTACTCATGAACAGGGACAAAGTACAGTCAAGGGTGAAAATGCTTAACTGGAAAATGGCTAATTTTGATGGGATAAAAAGGGACCTAGAGTTGGTGGACTGGCAAGTAAGACTAGCAGGTAAAACGACTCATGAGCAATCCTCAAAGACATGATAGCTCATGGTCTAAATAGATATATTCCCACAAAAGGGAAATGTGTGACAACCAAGTCAGCCTGGATGACCAGGGATATTCTGTCTAGGATGAAAAAGAAGAAGACGGAGTACGACAATTGGAAGACGCAAGATACTGAGGATAGCAAAGCGCATTATAGAGAATGCAGGAGTGATCTTAAAAGAGTGATAAGACAGGCTAAAAGATCACATGAGAAGAGGTTAGCGGGTAACATAAGGGGAATCCTAAAATATTTTACAAGCACATAAAGGAAAAAAGGTTAGTTAAAGGTAGGGTGGGGCCAATCAAAGACAATGACGGCAATCTTGTTGTGGAGGCAGAGGGCATGGCTGATGTACTGAACGAGTACTTTGCATCTATCTTCACAACGGAAATGGATGCCCCAAATGCCGAAGTATTGGATGAGACGGTAGCGGAAACAGATCAGATTACTATAGACAGAGAGGAAGTTCTGAAAAGATTGACTGGGCTCAAAATTGATAAGTCACCAAGACCAGATGAGTTTCACCCAAGGTTGCTGTGGGAGATACGGGTTCAAATAGCGGAGGCTTTGGCCATTATATTTCAATCTTCATTGGACACAGGAGTGGTGCCAAGAGACTGGAGAGTGGCTAATGTTACCCCCCTCTACAAAAAGGGGCCGAAAGACAAACCTGGAAATTACAGGCCAGTCAGCCTAACTTCGGTAATAGGAAAACTACTGGAGACCATAATCCAGGACAGAATAAATCTCTACTTAGAGGAACATGAGGTTATTAGAGATAGCCAACATGGATTTGTTAAAGGCAAATCTTGCCTAACAAATCTAATAGAATTTTTTGAAGAGGTGACTGCGAGGGTTGATGAGGGAAAGGCTTTTGACACAGTACCGCATAAGAGATAGATAAGAGACAGATACCGCATAACTGGCTGAGTGATAGAAAGCAGAGGGTGGTGGTTAATGGGTGTTTCTCGAAATGGAAGGAGGTGTGCAGCAGTGTCCCCCAGGGATCGGTATTGGGACCACTGCTCTTTCTAATATAAATGATCTGGACTTAATAATCTTTGCATTTGATATAGCGCTTTTCATGTCAGGAGGACATCCCAAAGCGCTTCACTGAACACACTGTAAAGTGAATTGACTGTATATTTGTGGGCGAACGCGGCAGCCAATTGCACACAGCAATGTCCCACAAACAGTCCTAGATTGAAAATGACCAATTTATTATTGTTTTAGGTTTTTGGAGGGATTATTATTAGGCGTGTGGAGTAAGGAAACTTGCCCAAGGTTTATGCCCTGCCTGGAATTGAACTCAGGTCTCTCGCTTGCAAAGAGAGTGCTCTAACCACTGAGCTACAGGACTCCACACAGGACTTGGGCATAGAGAGCACTATTTCCAAGTTTGCAGATGATACAAAGTTAGGTAGGGTAGTAAATAGTGAGGAGGACTGTAACCCACTGCAAGCAGACATACACAGAATAGTGGAATGGGCTGACATGTGGCAGATGGATTTCAATGTGGGTAAGTGTGAGATGATACACTTAGGTAAGAAAAATGATAGGAAGCAATATAGACTTGGTAGCTCAATCTTAAGGGGGGGTACAGAGGGATCTGGGTATTCAAGTAAGCAAATCATTAAAGGTAGTGGGGCAGGTAGATAAGGCAGTAAAAAAGGTATTTGGTGTACTGAGCTTTATTAGTAGGGGCATAGAGTATAAGAGTAGGGAGGTTATGGTTAATCTATACAAAACACTGGTTAGACCTCAGCTGGAGTCCTGCGTCCAGTTCTGGGCAACTTACTTCAGGAAGGACATCAAGGCACTGGAAAGGGTGCAGAGGAGATTCACGAGAATGATACCAGGAATGGGGAACCTTAGCTATGAGGACAGGCTGGAGAAGTTAGGACTTTTCCCATTAGAGCAGAGAAGGGTACGCGGGGACCTGATAGAGGTCTTCAAGATCATGAAAGGTTTCGACAGGCTAGATAAGGAAAAGCTGTTTCCGCTGGTAGGTGTATCTGTGACCTGTGGTCACAGTCTTAAGATATCTACCAAAAGAAGCAGAGGGGAGGTTAGAAGAAATTTTTTCACTCAGCGAGTTGTTCGAATTTGGAATGATCTGCCTGAAAGGGTAGTGAAGTCCGATTCGATAAAAGCTTTTAAGAGAGAACTGGATAGGTATCTGGGGAAGACGGGTTTGCAGGGTTATGGGGAGAAAGCTGGTGATTGGGGTTAGTGAAAGTGACTTGCTCTGTCAAAGAGCCGGTACAGACTCGATGAGCCGAATGGCCTCTTCTGTGCCGTAACATTCTATGAATCTATGAATCACGAAGTGGATGGATCTGGTTTAAATAAACACTGTGGGGTGGAGGGTGCGATTGGAGAGAGAGATTAAAATCAACAGAAGCAAAGATGTGTACACAAATATGCATGTACACACACAGGCAAAGGCAGTCAGGATAAGAGAGAGCACCAATCACATGTGGAGCAAAGCAGAGAGAGAGCACTGACCATGTACTATAGTGACCGTACAGCTGCTGATAGATGAAGCTTCTGGTTGGTACTGAACATTATATTTTGTGTGATGACCCTCTGTCCTCACTGATTTCATATCCAAGAGATCAGTCTCAAACAGAGTCCTGCAGCTCAGTAGTTAGAGAACTCGCCTCGCAAGCAAGAGACCTGGGTTTGATTCCTGGCTGGGCAAAACCTTAGACAAGTTTCCTTACTCCACATGCCTCTGTTTTCCCTAGTAGGAACTCGGTTGTTAGTCAATTGGCAGATCACTTTTCCGGGGGTAATAATGCCTTACAAAAAAATACTAAATTGGTCACTCAATCCACCACTGTTTGTGGGACACTGCTGCCGCTTTCACCCACAAAATATACAGTCAACTCATTTTGCAGCATATTTTGTGAAGTGCTTTGAGACGTCTCGAAGACATGATAAGGCTCTATATCAAATGAAAGAATTATTATTATTTTATATCATGCTCTAAGGCCATAATAGACTGTGCAGCGAAGCGCCAACATACTTGCACCAAGTACAGCCTCAGCTGTGTCTTTTTGCCCCCTGCCTCACCCTCTCCTTTGCCTCCTTCAAGGCGCATCTCAAGACCTTGCTTTTTGACCATACCTTTGGTCATCTTCTCTCCTCCACTCCTCTGTGACCCCCAATCCCTAGCTCGGGTGCAAACCTCTCATTGTCTAGCGCCTTGCGATGTCCATCTGACATGAAAGGTGCTGTATTAATGTCATTATTATTGTTGTTTTCCCCATGGTAACGTGTTTAAGACAGATGACTCATGAAATGAGTATTTCTAAAGATGTTAGCCATGCTCAAAATCACTGTGTTAGAGTTTTACTGCACAGTCATCTGCAAGTAAAGTGCACTTGTCAAGTCTGCAGTGTGTTGCACATCCATTTTTGAAAAATATACTCTGTCCTTTACTTGGGAAACTATTTTACTGTGAAGTAATTTGGAATGTAAATACAGTGTTTATTTCCCTAAGCGGTCAATATGGACGTGTAAGTATGTTGAGATATTTTCAAATTGATCCAGAATGTTGAGCAGAAGAGATGTCGAGTCAATTTTTGTGCACAAACATTTTTAATCTCTTAACTTTTGCGTTTTCCTTCTCAAAAGGAAAATCAGTTTTTGATTCCTCCCACTCCGAGCCAATAAGAAGTTTTTTTTTATTAACTGCATAAATTGCAGAGTTCAGTATTTTATTGTGACAGGTGAATGTAGTCTTTCAGTTTGGTAAATCGACCTCTTGTTCTTTTCAGGGTACCCCCAGATTAGGAAGAAAGACGTCTCCAAGTCCAACCCGACGAAGCAAGTTTGAGTGATTTCTATCCGCTGTTGCCCCCAACCCTGAACCAAGCTGCTATATATTCCTGTTAACGTGGACAGATACTGAATGTAAATGTGTGCCTGAGCTCACCAGCAAACTTTTTAGCAATAGTGAAAAAGGTAGCTCTGCCAATCTGCTGAACAGCAACTAAACTGGAAGGCATTATGATGGCTGGCATTGTGTAGACTTTGTAATGCACTCATCAAAACTACTGCCTCAACCTGTGATGCTGCAACCAGCTTTCCTAAAGTTTTTTTTATATATGTAATATATATAATAAAAAGCTGCCCTATCTCTCTGCATGCATTAATTAGTGTTTGTAATCTATTTTGTCTATCTATCGATCTTTTAATTGTAAGAAATGTCATGTTCTTAATGGCATATTTTAGGACACATATTTATAATATTTTGGCGGAGCTATTCGACTTAAATTAGCTGCATTGAAAATGAAATGCTATACATGTTCAGTTGAAATAAGGGAGGGCTTGTGTTTTAGAGGCTTCCCTGCAGAAAGATATCTCTAAATAGTTGTTACTTACTTTTATATGTCAAAATGAAATAATTTGTATCTATTAAAAATTGAGTCGCACAGAATTTTCAAACTATTTTATACAGACCCTAATAAATAAATTTACATGAAGAATTACTTAATTTGCTATTAAATATATTGATTCCTTTAGACATTGTACACGTCATTGTATCTTAATTTGGTTTTAGAGTGACATTTGAGGTACTTTTTGTATATCCACTTCTGTCCTTCAGTTTAAAAAAACATGTACACTTTATTCGTGCATATTTATAAAGACGGCAATCTATTCGCATATAAATTTTGTCACGTGTGTATTTAAATGTTTGAAGTGCCTTAGACCCTTGCCATATTTTCAGAATAAAAGCTGCATTATGCTAATTCACTATTCACTCCTTTTGTTGTGCCATTATAAAAAAGTTTATATTGTTCAAACCAGTTCAGAACTTGTTAGCTTACAAATTACACAGTCACTACACTTTACAGTATATCCTGTTCCCCTGACATGAAAGATGCTGTATCAAATGTAAGGATTATTTTAGAACTCTTCTTCCCTCCCCTCCCCTTATTTTATTTTTCCCAGGCTATAGAATGCCTATTTTATGGTAAATTATGTGAGCGAGTGAGAATCAGATGAGAAAACATCAAAAACACCAAATCGTGTGTCAGCCTGGCTCAGTGGCACTCTCGACTCAGAGGCAGAAGATGGTGGGGTGAAGCGCCATGCGAAACTTTGAATCACATAATCTAAACTGTCCTTCGGATGAGACGATATACTGGGTCTGTCTGTTCAGGTGGACGTTAAAATTCCCATGGCACTATTCGAAAAGAAGGGAGTTTCTCTTGGTGTTCTGGCAAACAATCCCCCAGAAAAATAGGTCACTCACTCTATGGTTGTTCCTGGGACACTGCTGTGTGCAAATTGGCTGCTATGTTTCGCCCACAAAATAGTCAAACTACAGTATATTTCTGGTAAGTGCTTTGAGATGTCTCAATGACGTGAAACTCTATGTCAAATCCAAGGATTATTATCAGCATAATCCAATGATGCCATGTTAGCTGCTTTTGTGTTTCAGACGCTTGTCAGACAGGGAAGCTGACAAAATTAACCTGGTATCTTCACTGTGACTGGAATCTCATTACCACCCAAGCAAGGGCTGGGATTAGGTACAAAATGAGATTAAAAATTGAAGAAAACCTCATGGAAAATGGGTCAAAGGTTGTAGATAAGGTAAGAGGATGTTAGGGAGTTAAGGGAATAGATCGGTGAGGGGTCGGCAGCTAAATGGATTGCTCTTTTAAAGAACCAGCAGAGAGATACAATGGGCATAATGACCTGCCTGACATTTCTATGACATTTCTATTTCTAAGGCAAGAAGCTGATGCTTTGAACAAAAGGCAAAGTACTGCAGATGCTGGAAATCAGGTATAAATACAGAAGTCGCTGGTCAGGCAGCATCCATGGAGAGAGGAAAATGAGTTAACATTCCAGGTCAATGACTTTTTATCAGACCTGGGGATATTGGAAGGGAGCAGATTATAAGGACAACCAGAGAAGGGGGCAAGGAAAGAAAAGACAAAGGAAACATTTTTTGATGGAGGACAGAAGACGATGAGATCAGAAATGTTGATGGTGCAAGACAAAAGGTAATATTAGGAGATTATAGAACAAACAGATGTTTCTAAATGGTGCTTTGGCCCAATTTCAACCCTCCCACCAGAAGGAGGTGCAGAGTGGAGGCAGGCAATTGGTAAAGTAAATTACTGTATTCAACAGCAGTGAGTGTGTGTTTCTCATTACAATCTGGCTCAATTTGTAGCACTCTTGAATCTGAGTCAGAAAGTCCCATTTTAAGACTTGGAACTTATGGTCTGGCTGACACTCTAATGCAGTGCTGGGAAAGTGCTGCGTTGTTGGAGGTGCCGTCCTTTGGATTGTTAAAGATTCCATGGCACTATTCTCCCAGTGTCTGGTCAACAAACCCCCAAATTAAATTGGTCATTCACATCATGGCTGTTGCTGAGTGCAAATTGGCTGTGGCATTCATCTGCAAAATATACAGTCACTGCACTTTACAGTAAACTCTGAAGTTCTTTAAGACGCCTTTTGCAACTTAATAAGGTGCTATATTCAAAAGCAAGGACTGGTACAGCAGCTAGGTTGAGAGCAGCTATGGTTAATTCCTGCAAGTGTTCTGCTTGTCCACCCTCACGCTGCTTTTAAGGATTTAAAAATAGGAACATTTTTTACATTCAATTGTTCTCCCATGTTTTGATTTTCTGGTACTTTTTTTTCTTACAGAAGCAAAGGCTTTGGTTATTTTGAATAGTCCAGTTAATGTCTTTGCTGTAGTGTTCACTGCAGCATAACAGGAAAAGGGATTTATTTCCTTCCTTCAGGTTGCAAGGGAAATTGATCATTACAGTAATTGACTGGTGGAAAAAAACTTATATAAACAGATAACAGTGTGAGAAAGTGACATGGAATCTTAGCTCTAAGGTTACTTAAAGGGATAAACATCCCTGAATTTCCCAGTTCTATGTCTTTCATACTGTGGGAGGAACATAGTCTGTTTTTAAAGCATGATTGCTAGAGCTAAGGATGAGCCAATTTCTGTTCTGAGACTTTTAAAAGTATTTATTTCAGGTAAAAGTGTATTTGTTGGTATGTACAGTACTTCTCATCTTAATGTTAAAGTATTCTTGTTCTTTGAATGTCTGGTTCAGTTGGTAACACTCTCATCACTGAGTCAGAAGATGGTGGATTCAAGCCCCATGTTTGAACTCGCATAGTCGAGGTTCACACTCCAGTCCAGTGCTGGGGGAGTTCTGAATGGTTAGAGATGTCAATCTTTGAATGAGACATTAAACTGAGATCCTATCTGCCTTTTCAAATGGACATTATAGATCCCATTGCACCACTCAAAAAGAGAAGCGAGTTTCTCACGGTGTCCTGGCCAACAATCCCCCAGAAACAATTGGTCTTTCACTTCATAATAAATAATAATAATCCTTGCATTTGGTATAACGCTTTTCACATCTTCTCGACGTCTCAAAATGCTTCACAGACTGTAAAGTGAACTGACTGTATATTTGTGGGCGAAAGCTTTTTGTGGGACATTGCTGTGAGCAAATGGCTGACTCATTCACTTACAAATACCCAATCACTTCACTTTACAGTATATCGTGTGAAGCGCTTTAAGACGTTCTCCCAATGTGAAATGTGCTCTATGAAATTGTAAGGATTATTATTTGTTAGTAAATATCTTGATGTGAATTGTGCAAGCCAGCAGTAGGAACTGACAAGATTAAATTCAAAATACAAAATAAGACCAAAAATGCTGGACATACACATGAGATCAATCATTGGACCTCCAAAATAATACCTATTTGACAGCTTTTGGATCCTTTATCTCTCTCTACCTCCTTCTGCTTCTGCTCCCTTCCCCACTCCCTTTACTCAGGCTCTCAGTCAATTGCGTGCTTTGAGGCATCCTCCTAATGTGAAAGGCACTGCATAAATGTAAATTATTGTTCTTGAACCATATCCTGAAACATTAACAATATTTCTCCTTCAGATGCAGGTTGACCTGAGGTGCCTTTCAGTTTATATATATATATATATGTATATTCAGCATTCACTGTTTTCCTTTTTATCAGTCCTCTTTTAAAGTTCAGACTTCTGACTCATGTGTTTTTAAAACACAGGTTGTCCTGAGGTCTTAACATACCAATCTTTGAAAGGCACAATTACATGGAGATCTTTAACAGCCTTAATTTCACACACTCTCTTCACTTTACACGGCTGTGGACTCTTATGACTCAGAAATATTGTGACCTTTTCCTGGATAATGTACCTCCATCACAGTCTGAGCACTGCATTGTGTTTTAAAGGCCACCTTAGTGAATGCTGCAGAACAGTTGTACACCTCTGACTCTTAATCTTATAAACTCCTTGAGTATTTAATTATGCAGTTGTATGCTATTAAGTGAATAACAAGTGTTTGATGGGGGTATGTTACTTAACGTGAAAGGTGCTATACAAATGTAATTGTGTTGTTGTAACAGGGCTTATTGTACAATGATCAGTAGTGGGAGCACAGACTAACATTGTGTCCCGGTCATTGTACTGGGACTATTGAGGCCAATTGTGTTTGAGGCAGACAGGATAACAGTTTAACATCTCATCCAAAGACTGGCATCTCTGAGTACTGAATTGGAGTATGAACCTAGACCGTGCAAATTCAAATGTGGGGCTTCAACCCATAATCTTCTAAGTTACTGAATTTAGCTGAGCACAGACAGGGGACAGTGCCAGATGGCGACATTCCTAGTCTGTGTTCCTTTTTCCTGCAGAATCGTCACACTCTCTTATCACCTCTTGCCTGCCAGAACTCAGCCAGTGCCTGTGTCAATCACAGGGAGGTATTGCACGCACAGTGTTAAGGTTATTCTTTCACTAATTGTACATCATTTCCTGTGGGGATTGATTTGGTCAGCCAGGTGACTGACACTTGTGGTAATCAATCTCCAAGCTTAAGAGTATTCTAACCTGACTGAAAAATCCACATATGTCTGCTATCTGCCACCTACAGATTGGAGATTTCCTCATGTCTGCAATGGAATGCGCACTCTCTCCCTGGAGGGATACCCCTTGCTTACCTAATTCTGAAGAATATTAAGCATAGGTTGGCAAGAGCCGAGGCTTGGGGACCCCAGAGTATAGGATGCGGTACTACTGGAATTTAACCAGGGAAAAAACAAATAGCTTGCCATCTTCTGTTTATCCTCCACCTTCAGTTTCTCTTGCTCAGAAACAATAGTGCTGTTTTCCATAACCCCATGCCACAACAAAATGCAAATGTGTCCCTCTACTGGTGTAATAAAGTCACTGTTACAAGATTCATTTTTGTACCACAGTATCTGTACTTCAGTCAAAATATGTCACCAGTTTCCATTCATAAACAAACTGCTGAAAAAAACATCAACAACAACAAGATTTCATTTATAGAGTGCCTTTCACGTCAGGAGGACGTCCCATTCGGAAGTCTAATTTGAAAAATTCTCCGGTCGAAAGAAAAATAAAATTAATGAAACTTAATCTTCCATCTTCTCAACTCCTAGAATCGGCTGATCGTGAAGTCCTGTAGCTCAGTGGTTAGAGCACTGCCTCGCAAGCGAGAGGACTTGGGTTCGATTCCCGGGCAGGGCGAAATGTTGGGCAAGTTTCCTTACTCCACTTGTCTCTGTTTACCTTACAGTAAGTAGGAACCTGGTTGTCAGTCGATTGGCAGATCGCTTTTCCAGGGGTAATAATTCCTTCAAAACAAAAATAAAAATAATTTGGTCACTCAATTCATGACTGTTTGTGGATACTGCAATATGCAATTGT